TATCGGATACGGAACTCAGGCTGGGTCAGTTGTGCTCTGATGAAAAACGAATAAAAGAATTCTTTGATTTTTGGGATTTGTGGCCAGATATCGCGCGTGTCCGACACGTGCAGAAATGTGTAATCATTTGGACTCACAATGCAGTGGTTCAGATCGGAAAGTGTTGCGGTCAACGGAACTGCCAGAAGGTAGGAGCTGTAAATTTCCATTCCTGTAATCGACTGGACTTGTGTTCATCATACTACACAGAAGCATATTAATCAAACGCCCACATTAGATTTTTTTTAAAGAACAGAAACAAGGCTACTTGCAAGTGCTCCATACGTCATCTTACATCTTGTGTCTTTATAACAATTCGATTTGCGTCTTAAATCCGCGTATCCGTAAGCAAACATCTGAGAATTTACATCTGTAGAGGAGATACATTTCTAACTTCAAGCAAGCTAAACGTGGAATTATAGCAACCACAGTTTTTTCTGGTATCCTGTCTCAGAGTTCAAGAACATATAAGAATATCACTTTTAGATAACACTGAGAGGAAGACACGGTCATGAGACTTAAAGGTAACGTGATGACGTGTATCCGATATATCCCATTGATTACGCAACTGTAGCATTCAGACAATGTATCTGTCGGCACGACCCATACTCGTGATTGAGACGTCGTTAATTTACTTCACTGCAGTATTTATTTACGAATGTTCACTTGGTATCTACAGAGTCGTCTTCAGACATGCACGTCCGATAATGACATGAACCGTAGACGGATCTTTGGAATCGTTTAGTTGAGAGTTGAATGAACGGGGCCTGTGATATTGCGCCTAACATGATCACGTATAAACGGGTTTCAGAGACAAAGAGAAGCCATAAAGATGTTTAAAGTGTTTTTATCGCAGTTCGGTGTAAATTTCTCTTACTAAGCCGAGGCCTTATCTTGCTTTCAGATTCTGATCGGCGTTCAACTCAAAATCCCACGCTAAAATTTGTAACCGCCGATTATGTGTACGCTCCACAGATTCCAAAATGCCACAATTACCAAGAGTCGTCTGACGTTCCAGGTCGTAAGTCAAATCACATGACGCACGACGTCACGGCCTAGTGAACACCATGCCTATCGACGTGACCAGTGTTCGGAAAAAAGTCTGTCACAAAACTGAAGTTATTTTCGGACTGGCTTAATTAACGCAATGGAAATTTTCTTGATAGCAGTGCACTTACGAAGGCCGCACGTCACTGAGAGCAGTTCCAGAATCACATTAGTCGGCTACCAGACTTACTTTAGTGACTTTATGACGCAAATAAAACTAATTACGGATTACTATATATAATCAGCTCGTGGGATTGGAATCACTTGTGGGTTTTATTTTATTATCCTCTGGAATTTATTCGTCTTTTATAAGATGACGACGTTTCTTAAAGCATAAGCAATTTTTAACATTGACAGCCTTTAGTAAATCAGTGTGTCATGTGCCATTCTTTGAGTATTGATGGAACCTCAAAAATCTGAAAGTTATTTAAATTAGATCGACATTGTCCGTGTTAATTCTCAGTCAGAAGAAACTGTAGCTCCTGGTTTATGGCACCTGCAGCAGACTTAAAGTTCTTCCTTCTGTCAGAAGTGTGGAACCGTTTCTGTCCTCGAATGTGCAATGGATATTCAGTCTCTATCAGTCTTTCTGCACATTTACTATAATTTTTAATATTTTGATTAATTGAGACTTGAACAGCACACGTGACCACTTAAAAAACGTCCTCCACATTATGTTACCGACTGTAATTAATCAACTTCGCTGTTATGAGCATTGCTTTAAGGCACGAATCTGCGCATGACGGAGACAAATAGGCTATTGGCGGACTCAGCAGGTATACCACTTAATTTCTGTGAGGGCCTGTGGCTCAGCGACCAACACTCAAGCATCCTCAGACAAGAAAACACGTGCAATTTTCAAAATACTCGGTTATTAACCTTTGTAACGAACAGTTATTTTCATGGGCATAATCTTATGACTTCAACTCATGTTTATTTTACTACAATGAATGCTACAGATTTCAACGAAATACGTTATATGTGAAACTACATTAGTCTACAAAAATTTTCTTTTATGAAAAACGTAAGAACAGAAACATGAATGTGACTGGCATCTGAGTAAAACTCATTCCCCTGATAATGGAAGCAGCAAGGGCCTCTGAAACGTTGGTAAACGTATATAAGACTACACGGCACTACAACCCAGAAGACATTCTCACCTCCATCAGACCAGAAATTCTACTAAAATTATGTTAGCATACATGCGATTTATTTTACACTTGATTTATTTTCCCAAAGAAAAGGTGGCAAGTTCTTCATCTTTGACCGAAATCTTTGTAGAGTTATAAGCAAAATCAATTTTTGGACTTATGTTGGTTTGCCAATTACCCACATAATACTGAAGGAACATTGCATATGATTATATCTTTTGTTACTCCTGTGGTGACCTGTTTAAGCCGCTGTGGGTTACCGTGCTTTCTCTATGTTAAGACATAAACCAAAACCTAGTAGAAAAATAGCATGAGTCCAGAACACATGTTATTTTATTAGGAGGCATATTATGTAAATGGCTGCCTACGCGCAGTAAAGGCTTGGGCCGATATGATTTCTTTTGTAGACTGTGAATTTACCCCTCGGAGATTGCCATGGTAACATGGCTCAATTCTCTCACACAATGGACTCATGTGGTTCTGCTATAGACCGATTAAGTTAGAAGCTGTGCGAAAGTAATTTGAAGCTGCAGTTCAGAAAGTGGCGTTCGAAATTCTTCAGAGTCAATTGTAAGATTTCACTAGCGCAAATGTGCGGGTTTCATTCGAAGATAGAAATGAGGGGGCAGTTTATTTGAGCAATTACTAATTGCTTCTGATCAGTATTACAGAGAGAAACTAGCATCTTGCTAGGAAGCCTCGGTGCTGTAGTCGGCGTTGGCTAACCAACCGAGACAGCCACAAGGAACGACGATTTACATTAAATTGGCAATGACAACCGGAAGAAATTTGGGGTCATTCAAAAATAAGATTGTTGAAGAATAATTTTTAAACGCAGTCGTATAAGAACACCTGGATTTTTTTCGTGAATCCTCTGAAGCTTGAAGTTCATCTAAATAGTATTTGAAAATTCATTTCGTACTTGTGTTGGGCAAGGCCGTGGTCTAGGCAACACGGAGTTTTCCTCCGGGGGCTTCCCCGGTTTCTCCGTGGCATCCCAACAATTACTCCATTCACACACAGAAGAAGGCAATGGCAAACCACTTCTGGATCATCTGCCAAGAACGTATATGAACAGGTCCCAGTCCGAGAAAAGGATGGAAGGATCCTGTTCATATGGACCTGTCCTCAGACAGAACACTAACTAAAGCAAGTATCTTCATACAAAGAAATCACGACTTTTTCGATTACAAAGGTCATTTGGTTAATATGTTCGGGGAATAATGATTGTTTATTCTGATAATTATATGAAACTTATACACATTATGTACACAAAAAGAGGGTCACTGAATGCAAAGAAATTAGTGGTTTATGAAGATGGCTGTCTTGTGGGTTGCGCGTCATGCCATCTCCTATGTCTCAAACTTATTTTTTGCGCGCGACTTACTCATCGCCCTGATGATGGCGGCAGCAAGTGCATTTGAAACATCGGTAAACTACCAGACCGAGCAACAACCCAGAAGACAGCCATCTTCATACTCGCCGCTGTGATTACCTGAAGCTCGCTCGATCCTGGTACTCTTGGCCTGGCTTATTTGAAGTATACATTGTTTACACGCGGCTGACAAGATATCGTCAAGTTGCGAACCTGGTATGATGGTTATACTGCCATGTCTTGGTCGCAAGGGACCGCGTCATATAACGGAATGTGCTGCGTGAAGGTAAGGTTAGGATTGGAGCGTGTTCTGCGTTCTGCATCCTACCCCTTACATTATAAGTTTTGTATTATTATCCGGAATTCGGGTACACATGTGGAAGTAGACTAGAAATTACTACCATGTAGAAACAAAGGAACTTGCGTGTTGTCCTGCTCGGGTAAAAATAAATAATTTGCTTTCCGTGACCTGTGGAGAGGGAGACAAAATTTCTAGTCACGGATCGTAGTTATTTTCTACGCCGCAGAGACAGATGACGCTGGCTCTACATAGATTGCTGTTCAGTGCATTCAAATTCTGGTAACTTATTTGCCTTGAAAAGAAAACATACGAATTTCCATACTTGTTTGCACGTGTTTTAGAGCTATCCTATCGGAAACATTAAACAGCTTCTGTCAGCACTGACTTCCGTCACTGCGGTCAGCTCACCTTGGCAAATCATCAGTTGGACTTTCCGCTGATATTATAGTCGAGGGTTCAATTATCATTATTGATCAGTCACTGTACAAAATTCAGAGGTAGCTAGAAGCCGATGACGCGCGTTATGACGTCAAAACGGATTTAAAATAAGAATGACCATTCACAGAGGTCAAGGGTCGGGTGGGGAATCCACAATCGGGGATTCCCTACAAGACACCACTGCGAAAATATTATGAGGAGGTTGATAATTTATTATAAGGCTGCTAAAGCTTTCTTTTTTAATCTAGTTGATCTTAAATGTTGATGTGATTGACATCTACACAAAAGAGAAGTGGCACATGGCTGTATGTACGTAGTCATCAGTTTATGGAATAATATGCGATATATGAGTTCTTGGTTAACATCGTAAATTAAAAAAGTTTATTTGAAGCTAGCTGTAATTCTGTCAAATGAATCAGTCGATATTTCTTATTTTGTAGTTGTGTTGTTCAACTCTAATGCATTTTCTTTATGTATCAGATTCTCTGTGTGTCTAAGTTAACACCGTTTGCTATATTTTTACTATCCGTGTTTTCTGTGCATATTTGTACACGTGATAACATTTTGGCTATTCCAAATGAATCAACTTGTTACATACAATCATATTATCGACTACTCTTAATTCCTAAATAATAAGTTCCGTACTCACCTTTGTGAAAACCCCAAATCTTACATAATAAGTTCCGTTGTTGCATGTTCGTGGTACAAGGAGCTATTATTCTGTTATGAACTGGTCACAGTGGTCGCTGTCTGGGGCATCGGCCCGGATCTTTCTGACGCTGGAATCGTAGGTTCGAGACGTTGATGTTTGTCTTCGTCTTTCTGTGTTGTGCGTTCTGAATATCATTCGTCAAAGTTGTCTTACCGAATATCTAAATAGCTTAAGAAATCTGCCATATATAAGGAGGCTAAAGTCCTTCAAGGGAGTGGCGTAAGTAAGTAAAGACTATTTATGTGTTAATTTGCTTTTATATTTGATGTCATAGCTTAATTGCTGCTTGTTTTTTATTTCATTTCAAGTTCAAGTGTGAATTTTTTCGATAATCTATTGATAGAAGTTATTTAATGCATGTATTGAATGGTCGGTATTGTATTATGTAACAGATGAACCCATTTGGAATAGCTAAGATACGACCATGTGTTTTCACAAAGTAACTTGTATTAACAGACCAGATATATCAACATTAAACGCGTAGGATCGCACTATATATGAATAAAATAGAACAAAAAAGGTTATATTAGCTAATAAATACCAATAGCTCAATTTTGCAAAATTACAAATAGTCATTATTTTTCTTTTAATTATATAATAATAATAATAATAATAATAATAGTAAATAATAATATATTTGGTTTAGAACTATATACAGAGATCTGTGGTCGCCTAACACCAGGTTTTCACGGCCACAGTCCTTACATACGTAGCACTATTAGCACTACTGCTTACTACAACTATTCACTAATGCTACTCTACATGACTATTCCTTAATCCCTAATACTATTTACATAACTCTTTCTTATTGTTCTCGTGCCTTCTATCTCAGTGGCAGTTCTAAATTCCTAATTTTGACCTGTCTTTTACATCTTACTTTGTACAACGCAACATGCACTCAGCAAATCACAAATACACTGCGTATTTGATGGCTTCAAGGTTACATATAAACGTCGGAAGAATGTGACCACGTGATACTGTGTTATAATGAAGAATTGTTTAGGTGGTAAAAAATATCGATGTTTAACTAATAATTTCTATTCTCCCAAAATATTAGTGGGGTAAATTAAATCAATTATGGTGATGTTGGCGGTAGATGCAGCAATCATGGAAGAGATGAAAAGATGTCTACAAAATTTTGGTCGAAAAACTGAAGGCAAGAGACAACTCAGAGGATGTAGGCGTATAATATTAAAACGGATCATACAGAAATTGGATATTAGGTTATGGGCTAGATTCATATGGATCAAGTTAGGAACCACTAAAGAGGGTAATGAGTTTTTGGTCTGAATAAAAACGGGGGATTTAATGATTAGCTGAGCGACTACTAGCTTCTGTATTCGGCCTCTATGGAGTAACTTAGTTATGTAATTAGTCAGCATTTCGGTTGCATATTCACAATTTTGTTGCCATATTCATTAGCCGTAAAATGTGACATTTCACAGATGTGACGTTCGTCACGTTACGAACTCTTGTTTGTAGAAAAATGCACAAATGCCCACCGGCACCAAGAACAAACAGATTGCCAATAATTCCGTCTGCTCTCCGGTGGTCCTTCACGGAACAGAATACAATTTTTGCATCCTGCTCAGTTTTGACAGAAGAATAAGGAAATCATCAGCTCTGTTACACTAATACCACCAACTGTTGGTCGCCATTTATATCGCCAAACAGCAAACTATCGTCAGTTGTTAAAGACAAAATCAATAGACAAAAATTAGAACACATTCTGTTTAATTAAAACTCAGTGCATAGTCGTTAGAACTGCCACGTAGTTATTTGAATTTAAAAAAATAAACAATAAATAGTTTCGCGTGAGTTGGAAATGTTTGCGGAAATCACGTGATCTACGTGAAGCCCGGGGTAACCGACGTCTTTCTGTCAACAGGCACATGCGTTGTGCACATTTTTACGAGCTGTCAACAGGTCCGTGTGCTAAGAACCGACTGTAGGACAGAAAATTTAAAACACTGGAAGTCTCCTGTTTATAAAGGAACTCGTGTTCCTAGGTTCTATATCTGCGGAGTTCCGGAGAGCGGATACCCACCGAGTCAATGCAAGATTATACAGGCGATCGAAAAGGGACTCAGATTTTCCTGGCACGTGTTCTGTCTGTCAAAAATCGAATGTATCTGAAACCAGGAAACATATAACGATGATGGAAATGTCCACCGCATTCAACGATGCATATTTTTATCATGTATGTCATGATATTTATATGTACACTATAGGCAATGTAATTTATTTGCATTTCTGTTAAACATCTGCGCGTCTAGACATCACGTGGCCTCGTTCACATATTCCACTTTAGCCCGTACGTTTATCCGGCGTGTTAACATAACGCGCCTTTCTCGAGTAACCTACCCCCCGCGTTGAATGAAGGTTTACTGGAGTGTAGCCAAAATGCAGAAAAAGCACAAGGCGTCATCGCTTGCAAAATTAAACCATTCCTGCGTACGAAAGGCATTGCTTGAAAATATGTTCTTTTTGAAAAGAACTTCGGTTGAAATTCCCTGTTAAGGAAGTCGGCTGTTGAAACTGACACAAAAGGCAGATTTCTTGCACACTCCCATTTAACGGAGACATGGTGATACGAGGTGCGATCGGAAAGTTTAAAGACTGCGCGTATAAAAACTCGTACACTTATCTCAGGTATTAAATTCATCCATCACCTTCGAAGTAGTTCCCCTGGGAGTGAACACAACGATCCCAGCGCCGCTGCCAAGCCTGGAAGCATCCCTGGAAATCTTTCTTTGTCAGCCTGTCAAGCACCATCTGCGATTCTGCCTGAATCTCTTCTATCGTCTCAAATCTCCTTCCCTTTAGCTGAATTGTCATCTGTGGGAAGAGGAAGAAGTCACACGGAGCTAAATCCGACGAATAAGGAGGGTGCGGGATGACGGCCATAGTGTTTGAGGCCAAAAACTACCGAACTACGTTTGGTGTAAAAGTGTTATCACTGCCGATGGCAATCGATGAGAAGTGTCAATCTATCCATTTAGCCTGATCTGAAAATAATATCAGTACTCGGTTCCATTTGCCCGAGGGAAGTCGGTTTTACAGGTTCGTTATTCGCGATGCCTCTGCCTGAAACCGGCTCAGTTCATCGCTCCATCCGGCTGCCCGCGACCAGTCGACAAGGATGAATTGTTTCAGAGTGACAGGACCCCGTAGTGAGCCATTTTTTACTGTCTGTATAAACAAAGTCGCTTTCTGTAAGATCATTACGATTTTTTCATAAACGGGGTGTTCTGCAAGATTCCTCTGCGGTCATGAACACGTTCTCGGCTCTACTTCGATCTATCGATATCAATAGATCGAATTTCAACCCTCGTTCAGCGCAGGGGATACGGCTGTCGAAACCGCGTTGAACGAAGTTAACACTGTACGGAATTAGTGTTAATACTGTAACGCGGAGTGTGCCTTAATGATATTTATTTGTGAGAAAACTGCTTAATATGATAAATTATCATTTGAGATTTTCACGGCGGTGAGGCCTAAGATGGCGGTCTTCCGCGTTAAAGCGCCGTGTAGTCTGATAGAAGTTTACCGACGTTTCAGAGATACTTGCTGTCTCAGTCATCAGAGTGATTATTAAGCAGTCCGCGGCTTACTCATCGCTCTGATGATGGAGTCAGCAAGGAGCTGTGAAACGTTGGTAAACTTATATCAGAGTATACGTCACTTCAAGCCAGAAGACAGCCATCTTCGAAGTATAACATCGCTGGAAAGTTTATCGTTAACTACAATATCAACGTAAAGTCAGACTTTAAAATAAAATGTCAACAGAATGTTAGGCCAACGGCTTCTGCGCACATTGCACCGAGTACCTTATCTGGAATCTTTATTTTTCCATCTAGTGTCATAACCTTACAGCTTGTCTATGTTTCATTATCACTTTTACATTTATATTTTAGTTCCATAACGCTGTTCAAGGGCGATGTCATAAGCAGTAAACCATGGAAGAATGGTGCAACACACGTTACCACGGTAACAGCATAAGCGAGACTGTTTGCGGGTCGCCGTTTCTTGTAAAATGAATTTAATCAACGCTATTAAGCGAGTTTCTTGGGTCTAACGCGGCTATAACTTGACGTTCATGATGTGTTTGATAGTTGGCATTCAATTGATAATAGTTCTAATTTATAAATCAGGTCACTCAAAAACTAAACCACTCTAGTATTAAGATGGCCGTCTTCTGGGTTGTAGCGCCGTGTACTCTGCCTCCATCATCAGGGCGATGATTTATCGACCTGGTGACTGAGGCTGCAAGCAGCAAGGACCTCTGAAACGTTGGTAAACTTCTACCAGGCTACACGGCGCTACAACCCAGAAGACTTCAGACTCACCGCCGTGAGCCAGTCATGGGACCTTCGTGAAAATTATTACTTCCGGTGCGAAGAAGATTATTATCAATCTTTGGTTTAGTCCACTTTTCAGTATTATGATTTGTTTTGCATGTTAACATTTACGAATATACGGTGTAGCTGAGTCGACTATAAATGCAGAAATCCGGACGGGAGACGAAAATAGAGCCAATTACTTCTCCTTGAAAAACAGGAGGGGAAGAGCTTTCGGCGTGACGTCCATAGGCCGGCCTTCGTGTCTGATTTGCGTTGCTTTGCTGTGGGATTCCGCGCTGTATCCCTGATCTGAGGCACTCCTCCGGAAGACAGTAATCTGTAGTTAGGCTCACCTATTACCTATCGAGGCTTTAGCTTATTTTGATTTTTAGTCTGTTTTCTGTCACTAGGAATCGCATATCTTGAGTCTTGTGGCCGAACGTCTCGTCGTATTCGGGAGGTCCCGGGTTAAAACCTTGGTCCGGAGACCGGGTGGCCTGACTGGTTCTTTTTTGGCGGTTTTACTCAGTCCTTCCAGTGATTAAATTAGGCCAAGACCGTTTATAGTCCGAGGCACTGTAAACGCGACGTTAAATACATTATAAATAAATAAATTTAGTCATCTGCTGCAGGACCAACGAAGGTTCATGGGCGTATAGATACAGAGCTAAGAGAACGGATGGGGCAATATACGTATGAGTTGGTGGGGTTGTTAAAATGGGCTGTATTTCACGAGTCGACGAAGGAATTTCTGCGTCAATCAGAGGAATTTTTAGAAATTAGCTCTGCTTTCACCGCCATATGCAGGAAGTTGTTACATTCTCCGAAGTCAACCGATCGTCTAAATTCGTTTCCAGTTTTCTGTCCTCGGGATTTTCCTTTCCCAGAGCCACGTAAGATTCTGTCAACAAGTTAACATCAGTATGCGAACCTCGGCAGTTGAAGTAATGTGAATTATTTACTCATATGCAATGTAGCAACCTTCCTCAAACGCTGAATGACTCGTGCCTTATGTGGACATCTCGTACTGTCTGACTATTCATTTG